TTTTACATTTGCAAAGTCAAGCTTCAGCTCAATATTGTCAATAATGTGCAGCACAGTATGGGTATCATTACCCTGCTGAAAAAAACAATAGAAACCATCACAGAAATTCGTATAGTTTCCATTAAACCATTACAAAATTCCTTTTTGTTTTGGGCATTATTCCAATAGGAATTACTGTTGTTCTATTGGTTACCATCTGCCAGATTACATCCCACCAATAGAATCCATCAAATAGACACCATTATAGTTTACATTAAAACCAAACAAATTCCCATTATAACCCTGAAATCCATAAAATTTGTTATTGTGCTTTGGGAGGGGTTCTATTGTATTTTTCTTCAGCAGGCAAGATTATAATTGTATAACTACTTTTACAGAATTAACTTAATTACTGAATTTCACAGAAAATATTTGTTTATAAATAAAGAACTGTCTCTTAAGTCAATTATTAAAGTATTACATTGATTTATTCATTTTAATTATTCATTTTTAGGTATTTGTTATTATGCATTATAAACTTATTTCAAATTAATCTGTTGGGGAGATAAAATGTGTAAGATAACGTTTCATGTACTAACAAAACCATCTAAGAATGTATCTTTTATTCTCCAGTACTGAAAACAGAACCGATAAGGGAGCTTTTGATATGCGCTGTGACGCAGCTCTTGCAAATTACCTTTTTTGTTCGTTGTCTGTCATTTCGAAGCTTAAGTTGCATACGGTTTTCTTTAGTTTTAATTTGCCTAACTATCAATCTGACCCAGTAGACGCCATAATCCCACTCTGTCTCTCTCCCGTGTTCCGGTTTTTTTTGTTTAGTTTTTTTTAATGGTGGGTGTTTACGCAGTTGGCTAGAGCAGTGCTGATTGGGGAGAATGGAGGTGCGCTCACTCTTGCCCAGGGCAAGTAAGACTGCAACTCAAGGCAGGCAGTCATGCATATGCTCTGGAACAGAGTAATATCGCGTCCACATCGTAGGCTTTGCGATTAGGAAATCGCAACGTCTCAAATCGCGATTTCGATTCGATTTCGATTAATCGCACAGCCCTAATATATATACACACACACACACACGTATGTATATACATACATACATGCATACTGGAGAACTCATGAGAAAAGCCAACAACTAACAAGCAATCCATAATGCATAATTGTTTCAGTGGAAAAAATAAGGTAGAAACTAAAAGAATAAAATATCAAGAGACATTTTAAATACTTAAAATTCTTGACGAAAAGCATGAAGATGAGTGAAGAAACAGCAAATCCTGGAACATGTAAAGCCCTGGAGAGAGTATCTGCCCACACACAGGAACAGCTTCAACTTTATAAAACATGACCTGCCCACACAGTTCAGTGTTCTGGAACTCATAACTCTGTATGCGTGATGGACAGACATAGTCTTCCTACATAAGCAGTGGCTCTAGCTCTATTACATACCATAGAGCAGCTTATTACCCACTTAATCAATCACAAAGACTCAACAGAAGAGAATGACTGACAGCTCTTATTACTTTCCAAGTACAATGGACCATACACCGATTCAACAACAGCTGATTTAACCATAGCAAAGCATTAGGAGCCTGTGAATGTTCAGAAATGTATTATTGAAAAGAGATCTTGAGTAGGAAGTTCTCTTTATGCATTGAGAGCAGAGGCATCCTTACCTTTTAGACTGTCCCTGGGGGCACAAAGTCAGCCCTGGCTGTGTAGATGAACGAAGTGTGCAGGGATGGAGGGATGGGGTGAAAGAGGAGACAAAATGAACAAGTAGAGGGGAATGACAAAGAGGATTGAAGGTCCCAGCATGCACCGCCACGCTCCACTGCAGACAGGGCCACGGTGACCCTCTGACACTGCACGCGGTTAGAAAGGAGACTCTCGCTAAAGAAACAGACGGAGTGACAGCTAGAGGAAATGAGAGAAAGGGGGCCACCCACTATTTCATAAGGAGAAAAATTTTCCTTTTTACAGGCTGGCCACACATTCAGGCATTTACCCTACTGTGAACGCTGGGCGGGCGTGTGTGTGTGTGTGTGTGTTGTGTTGTGTGTGTGAGACAGAGAGAGAGAGAGAGAGAAACATCTTCAGAGAGAAACATCTTCAGAGAGAAACATCTTCAGAGAGACAGAGAAGTCAGAACAGAGAAAACAGCCATGCTGTAAAACCACGGGGATGATCCTCTTAAATACGGTTATGTCATGAAACGGGTGTAATCCACAAAATAATACAGCGTAACGGGAGAATAACAACACAACAGAATGTGTTATGAGGTTTTAAAAAATTTGACTCTCTCTCTCACACACACATATACATATACATATACATATATATATATATATATATATATATATATACACACACACACACAGATGTCATGCTGCTGAATCAGCACATCGTTTGTGTGCCAGTGATGACTTGCCTTGAATCCTGGGTAGGGAGGGTAGGGATATTACTTTAAGTACAGGGATGGGCTTCTTCTTTTGGATTGTTCATGTTCAGAAGTAGACAGACTAAGATGAGACCAGAGGGAGAAATCCGATTAAACATCCCCCCCCCCCCCCCCCAAAAAAAACCCGGGAAAAGGGGGGGGAAAAACGCTTTTGCGAAATATGACAGGAGTCTGTCTTATGCCGTCTGTCTTATGCCGAGTTCACACTGCACGATTTTCAAACTTGCCGTTGTTTTTACACTGTGTGACTATTTGGGGTAGCTGCTGTGTTCACATTGCACGATGGATCGGCGACAGGAGGTTACACACTGCATGACTTCACAATAGGAAGAATCGCCGACAGCTCTGTCTGGTCCGCAAACTACCATATTGACCCGAATATAAGACAATGTTTTTTTCTTGGAAATACATCTGAAAAAAACGCGGTCGTCTTATATTCAGTGTCTAGACTTTGACATGTCAATAATACACCCACAACAATAGGTGGCACCAAATACGCATAAAACGAGATTCATTTGCCATGAAATACGTAATGTAATGAGTGTTGTAAAGATCGCGAGTAATAACAAAAGAAAAAGAAAACCTTACAGCTGCATGAGTCGTGACTGTCATGTTAGCCTGATGGGACCAAACTCCCTTTGTGATTTTAAAACGTAAGACAGTACCCAGATTTGAAGACTACAGTAAGATTTAACTTCTACTGTTAATAAGATTTTGGTAGGCTAGTGTTAGATGGATAGCCTAAATGTCCTAATTCAGATGGGCTACCTGCTTTTTTTTTTTTTATGTTATATCAAAAAGTGTATTTTACCAGTTTTTACCATACTTTCAAAACAAAAATTTAAATATGAAAAATATGCAATATGAAAATTATTGAAGACAAAATGTGTTTTACTGAGAAAAAAAAACAAGATTTGGTTTTTAAAAAGACTTTTTCCAAAAGGTACATCTGGAAAAAGGGGGGTCGTTTTAGAATCAGGGTTGTCTTATTTTCGGGCCAATACGGTACGTTTCACAACAAAACGCATGCGAGAAGTGATAAGGAAATAACGCGAGAACCCGCGTGCGTCAGACCGGAGTTCTCCAGCGAGACTGAAATTATTTAAAAAATATATATATAACCCGCAAATTGTCTGTGAGCTGATTTCCAGCTACAAGGAGAAAAAGAAAAACAGATGATGCAGGAGGGAGATGCAGGGAACAGGGATTGGGTGATCTGCAAAGAGAGTTGGAGGTAAATAATTTTGCAGTAACGGTTATGCTGATGTTGTGGCTGGTCAAGCAAATGTTTGTGCTTGTTTCTGTATGATATAATTGTTCATATATCTATTAAAATACTGATATTCTGGTCTATAACTCCTCCACGAACTTCCTTCTGCCCTGTGAACTCCGCATTAGCTGTACTCTGAGGCTCAGAATCAGTCCAAAAGCTTGTCCTGTCCGAGAGTGGACAACAACACATCGTCACATTCAAGAACAATTATTTGACATTTGCTACGACAAAATCTCGTCCAGCAACAGTAAAACGGTATATTATATTATATGTTGTTACACTCCAAAATATCTCAGAACAAAAATTATAATGTGACAAGCATTCGTAGCTTCTTAATCATTATCTTTTACAATCAGTTATCTCTTTCAGGTTAACTATTATAATGGCAGAGCAATTATCACTCTGTCTCACCCTCTGTTTCTTCAGTACAGATGGCAAATTAATCCTCAGTTGTCAAACTAAACCATTTAATCAAATTATATCAAGAACGTTCAGAATCATTGGCCAAACTAGCCAAATGCCACGGCTTTACAAGTAAACCCATCTTGATTCACAAACAAAGAGTAAAAATTAGAGCCATATGACTACCTGACAGTAGTATGTAGTACCTGACAGTAGTACCATAACAGTCCCTAAAGGAAGGCAGCACCTGTCAGAAATAAGTGTGTGCTAAGCACTGAGAGACTGAAGAGACTTCATGCCTGGGTGGCAACAGCATCACTAATCAGCTCCCACACCGACCAACTACCTGTGCCTTCACTCCATCTCTGAAGACTAAGACGGCTGTACAAAAGGGAAAAAAAGCATTTATCCCTCATAAATGCATGTGTCTTCTTGTTCCATACACTGGTGGTCTACAGTCATCTTTCTCCCTAAAGGTGGAATTAGTTCTGCTTTCTGGAGCCTGGCTTTTCCCCTGCTGGAATCTGGGCCAGATGGTTGGAGGAAGCCGAAGACAAAAAGAATGAGTGATGTGACAAATGCTTATATGAAAGAAAATGGTGAGTGATTCTGGGACGTGACAGGTCTGGCTGCGTTTGGCTCAGGTTAAGAGAGAAGAACTGAATAACATGACATGATCGAAACGCTTCGGTACTGAAGAGTGTCAATTTCAGCCAAAACTTTGCAGCTGCTATTTTGCATTACAGTAAGCAGAAAAGCATAAGATAATATAAGCATGTGGAATTCAACCTCCTAGGATGCATTTGGAATAACCACAATGCTAAGATTAGAAAAGAAGGCCCACATTTTGATGAGGATGTGATATGAACTAACCCCGTTCTCGTTGTGCATGTCTGAGCTGCTTCCTTCTCTCCTGCTGGGCTGCTCCTGAGACTGCTGGCTCCCTAAGAGCAGAGAAAAAATACAATGAGTCTATCAACAAAAAGCAGTTGTGAACTATAATCATGAATGAACACAAAAAACATCTATATACATTGGCTGAATGGAGGCAGAATCATCACAAGACTGGAGGAAAAGTTTAAAAGCCCGTTTGTTATTGCCATGTGACACTGTGAAAGGAGCTTGTGCTTTTAGTGGATTACTGCCACTTTTTCCCCTCCCACACACAGGGGTTTCAGGTTTATGCCTTAATCCGTGCGGACACTCACTACAAGCTAATCCTGCCTACAATGATAGGAAAAACCTCACTGGGATGTGAACAGAAAGAGTGAAAACAAACAAATGATGGGATAAAGAAAGGGAGAAATTATTACTAAAACATTATGGCAAAAATCCTAATCATGATTATTTTGGTCAATATTGTAATCACGATTATTTAACACGATTATAAGTGGGCTATATGACCAAATCTTTATATGAGTGATTTAAAGATAGTGATATATATTAAATATCGATATGTTGATATGACATCTACATTTTAGAGACCAGAGAAATTTCTCAATTCTCAATACCACAGCAGAGTATTAGGGTAACTGATATTAGTAAACAAACAAAAGAAGTCCTCAAAAATATTGAAAATAATTAAACTGTCAGTAATACAAATGAAAAACTGTGCTTTAAGGTTTTTTTATGCAAGTCTTAAGTATTCAGTTAACAGAAATGAATAATCAAATGTAAAAAAAAAAAACAGCATAGTCAGAGTAAGAATTAAACTTTCTTTGTTTCTTATTAAAGCTTCAAAATTCCTTCACTCAAGAGCAGTGTGTGGTTTTAAATTTGTCTTTTGTTGTTTGATTAATATTAAGCACACAGTCGGCAGCAGGAATATTTTAGCCCGCTGTCACTTTAAGAGCCGCACGATCCAATTTACAGCTACACACGTATTTTCATTCTCAACTGTTTATGTTCATTTATTACATGACCGACAAAGGTTTACGTGAATAATCACTAAACGCTGCATTTTGACACATTTTTGTGTGTATTTGACCATTTAGGTGCGCACCTTGAGCTAAAAGATGACTGTACATGTCCGTGTTGTGTACCGTCTCGGAGCGCAGGCACAGAAATCCTCCTGTGGAAGCGCAAGTTCTCTTTTGCACTTTTAAAAACATTAATAAGTTTAATACACTTCAATAAATCAAGCACATCCCATTTTGCAAAGTCACGTTATATGATTTGCATGTGAAATAGGGCTTTTATGGAGGAGCGAGAGTGAAAGCGCACCGCTGGAAAGGGGGCGGAATGGGGAGCAATAATCGTTTTATCTCGACTATTGTATTGTAGCGTCTGGACCAATCAAACACACAATTTTTCATTTGATTTAACAAATCAGTTCTTCATTAGATTAACAAATCGCCACAGTCCCCTCACCCAATAAACTGGATGCCAGGATGTCTGCAAATGACACCAAACCATGGCAACCCTGACACCAGATACTTTTACGACCTCATGGAATGTGAGCAGGGAAAAGCACTGTCTTTTCATAAGGAAAATCCCCAAGGCACAGTAGGAATGGACTTTTCTACTAATTAATTCATAGGAAAACTTTTATTTGAATGAACACACATAGCCTTCAGGTCATGGTGTATATTATTGTCATCGTGTATTTTGTCTTTGAGATGGTATACTGTTTTATGCAGGCTTATGATCGAAATACTCACTCCTGTCAGCTTACATATATATAACCCTACCATGTTTAGTATCTATGAATTAGTATTCGGATGATCTAATTGAGAGTGTATATTGTATGTTTATACCTACGCAACATATTAGTGTTCTAAGAGTCTCTAGTAATGTTGATCCAAGTTTCATATGCAAATTACCATGCTTTCAGACAAAGGGCCATAAAAACGCCCCAGTATCTCAGAACTCCCACTTTAGATGCACGATCCAATTTACAGCTACACACGTATTTTCATTCTCAACTGTTTATGTTCATTTATTACATGACCGACAAAGGTTTACGTGAATAATCACTAAACGCTGCATTTTGACACATTTTTGTGTGTATTTGACCATTTAGGTGCGCACCTTGAGCTAAAAGATGACTGTACATGTCCGTGTTGTGTACCGTCTCGGAGCGCAGGCACAGAAATCCTCCTGTGGAAGCGCAAGTTCTCTTTTGCACTTTTAAAAACATTAATAAGTTTAATACACTTCAATAAATCAAGCACATCCCATTTTGCAAAGTCACGTTATATGATTTGCATGTGAAATAGGGCTTTTATGGAGGAGCGAGAGTGAAAGCGCACCGCTGGAAAGGGGGCGGAATGGGGAGCAATAATCGTTTTATCTCGACTATTGTATTGTAGCGTCTGGACCAATCAAACACACAATTTTTCATTTGATTTAACAAATCAGTTCTTCATTAGATTAACAAATCGCCACAGTCCCCTCACCCAATAAACTGGATGCCAGGATGTCTGCAAATGACACCAAACCATGGCATCACACTTGACGTGGTTCATTGTTTGCTTATAACTGGAGTCACTTAATCATGCAGATTTATGCTACAAGCTTTTGTAGAATTGTACAGTAAGAAAGTTATTTCCCTTAACCAGGAAATTAACGTTCTTAGAATTGACAAGACAGTTGACCCTGAGAGGTCAGCTAAATATCTACAGCGGATCTAAATATTCATAATTAATTATAACTAGTTATGATTAATTATTCATATTTCCCATGAGCTGATTCGTTACAGTATTTTCATAATCGTTGGAGGCCGAAATCAAAACGGTTTTTCGATTAATTGCACAGCCCTACAATTGACAATGCCTTGCTCACTGTAATTTGAAGGCACTGACACATTCAAAGCTACTTTGAGATCATTCATTTTGTGAAAAGCACAACAGAACTGAATCAGGAACAGAACCCTGCATTGTTCAGCCAGGATGTGCTTGTCCCTTTCTTTCACATGTTGGAGGCCACTGAAAAGGGAATGAAAAACATTCAGCCACTGTCAGCCAATGAGAGGAGAGCGGTAGTGGGCGAGACGTGGCCTGCAGCCAGTCAAGTGGGAGTGTTCTCACCCTGATCGCTGCTTTCAGTGGGCGAGTCTTCGTGGCGTAGGTAGAACTTCACCTCCTGCTTTCTGGGGCCCCATTTCTGCAGGTGCTCATACATCATGTGGTCAAATGGTATGGCTCGTTCTGGAGAGGGGAAAACATAAGACACGGCATTAAAACAACAAGCCACTCTAATTTTAGAAAGGTCAGAAACATCATTTTTCGTTCCTCCAGGAAAAAAAGTTTGTAAAAAGGTGAGGAGATTGTGTGTTCACAGAGAGAGCAGGAAAGAGATCCTTCTCCTGCTGAGAAGCGTTTCATTCCAATGGTACACACTTAAAGCCACACCTGAAGAGAAAGAACAGAGGAACAGAAACAGTGGGATCAAGAGAACAAAGACGACATGAATCAAACGTGGCGTCCAGCCAGAGGAATGTGGTGGGGCTGGGTGGGCAACAAAGACATGGATGGGGAAAAACAAAATTTGGACATTGCTAACAGGTGGAGGGACATCTGGAAGCCTGGCAACCATTCAAAGAGTAATGGGATAAAACGACAGAAAAATAGAAGAATGTATGAAAGTGGAGAATATCAGAAAAGCACACAGGCTCAGGGACATTAACAAAGAAAGTGAGAGCAGCCAAATTTAACCTAAAAAAAACCTGGAGCCAGATGCTTCAGTTAAATGTAAAAAAAAAAAAGTTTGACAATCAGACTATATGGACAGGAATTTTATATAACTAGGTTTCACAGTCACAGCCATGATGCTATGATGTTGTGGGTGGTTGTTCCAAAATAGCTGTTAAGGTGGTTGCTAGGTGGATGCTTACTAGGCCATGTAACCAAAACTTAAGACGCATCAAAATATTTCATAAAGACATTGTAAAAGTAATACATATGAATAGAGCAGTTAAATCAAAGTTTTCTGAAGATACACGATTGCTTTATTGATAAACAGATTTAATTTAGGCTTTTATTCACATAGATAGAGCACATCAAATATGGTAACCTGGAGCCAGATGCTTCAGTTAAATGTAAAAAAAAAAAAAGTTTGACAATCAGACTATATGGACTGGAACTTTAGGAACTTTATATAACTAGGTTTCACAGTCACAGCCATGATGCTATGATGTTGTGGGTGGTTGTTCCAAAATAGCTGCTAAGGTGGTTGCTAGGTGGATGCTTACTAGGCCATGTAACCAAAACTTAAGACGCATCAAAATATTTCATAAAGACATTGTAAAAGTAATACATATGAATAGAGCAGTTAAATCAAAGTTTTCTGAAGATACACGATTGCTTTATTGATAAACAGATTTAATTTAGGCTTTTATTCACATAGATAGAGCACATCAAATATGGTAAATGGAAACTCAGCCATACTTGATTGACCCGTGACAACCAATGAGGTTGAGTTTCCGTTTGCCATATGGATTACTTTTACAATCTATTTATTAACTTTTTGAAGCATCAAAGCTTTGGTTGTGTGGACTGAGGTGAACAGATTTGGAATGGCATGAGGGTGAGTAATTAATGACTGAATTATGATTTTTGGATGAAAAGCTCAATGAAGAAGTGAATGTTTTAATGATCAATTAAGTACTCTAAATAAATATTAATTATCAATAATTACTGATATTCTAAAATAATTATTTTGAGAGTCTCATAGAAAAGCCTGAACTGCTGAGCACCACAATAAAAGATTTGGTGAGGCAAAATATCCACTTAGTAACCAGACACTAATGATGAATCTTGTGCAATCCATCACCTGCTGTAAAATAACTGGGCTCATCAGAATTTCAATGACAGATGCACTTCAAGATGAAAGGACACAGTGCTGATGGAAGGCCTTTTGAAAGGAGGCTCCCTGAGCAAAGATAACATTACTGGCACACAGCTGTTTGTACAAATCACTATCATCAAGGGAAATAGAAAAATGAAGGGAAAAAATGGACCCATTTGTCAGAACAGAAGTAGCGGTTATGTCTGAAAGGACTAAGTGAGCGTGTTTTTCTTTGCAGTCAGATTCTTTAAAAAATACTGATCGTGAGTGTCTTTGAAAGAATAAAAGCACTGAATGTTTTTTACTGAAAGAAACAGCCAGGGTGGGAAGGTGAGAAAATCAGAGGATATTGGAGTCTGTACAAATGATTTCAATTAAAGCTGAGTGCTTTCACCTTGTCAATATTTTTCACTTTTTAGATTAAGAACTGTAGTCAATGAAAGACTAATTCATATCCTGCAACAGTCATTACCTACAATTACGGTGTTCACTTGTTATAAACGGATAAGGATGAGAGGGATGGGGTTACAAGCATTTTTGCAATGGCGACACTCACCATTTCCATGCCAAACCTCGGCCAGGTGGCAGCCGCTTTCTCCTGGCTCCTTACAGAATTCCACCACATCACGACACGTCGTCTCTGGAGTGATGGGCACCTCTGTCAGCGCCTGCTCCCCATCACTCAAATACACCGTTAAAATCATCTGGGAGACAAAAAGAGAGAATATTTTTAATATTTCATACCAAAGACTGAAAAGCAGGCATTCCCACTCACCTATAAAAACACTGGGGGGCAGTGTCATTGCTCAAAAACAACTCAAACAACATTAGTCATGGATTAATTTGCTATTTAGCCCTAGTTATTAATGAATACTCTAACTTTATACCCTAAGTGTGTCTGAGACATGCAATTCTTACAAAACCCATGTAAATTCCCTCTTCCTCCAAAGCATCCAGAAAGGCCAATCCTACATTATTTTCTCTTGAATGGAGGGCAGTTCAAAACACAAGTGTGTAGGAGAAGAAAGAGCTCTTGTCCTGAAGCAAACCTGTCAAATAGAATATTTGACAGGTTTATAAAGTAGAAACAAAATATTGACATTCTTTTGTGCATAGAGTTGAAAGCAACAATTGGATCAGGTCAGTTTCAGTGAACTCTGTGTAGAGCAACATTAGGACCGAAATATTTAAATATTTACATCATGCAGTGTGTCTACATTTAAAACATTGCTTTTAAGAGCTTTACATCTTAAGTTGTTGCATACAGGAAGATATAGCACAACTATACAACACATTATGGTTGTTGATGAGATTTCTAGCCCCTCCCCTCAGCTATAATTCACTCTGATAGAGGGAGGAGCCTGGGCCTGTCAGATTGATAGTGACTGACAGGTGTGGTGAGCTGGTTAGTGCTGCTCTAAGTGCAGTGTGACAGAGGAGAGATGGATGGTTTGATGCAAAATGGAGAGCGCGAGCACGAGAAAGGCAGAGGGGAAGATCAAGAAGAGGGGTGATGTAAATATTACCTCCCTAATGAGAAGAGGAGAGCATGATCGTCTAATGTCTGCTATACAGTACTGCACTGCCACTTTCATGCAAGTATTTAAACAAACACACTATTCCAAACAGTGGCTTTTTATCCTTGATATATTATGAGTATGGACTAACAAAAGGACACTTCATGAAATGTGTCACTGTGCAGCTTGGCAGAGAGTAGAAGACAGATTCATTACATCAACCATCACAAAATCATCTCAACCGGTCACAACGGAGGACTGTGATACGGCCAGTGTGACACACGTGACATTTCTCAAGATAGACAAAAGGGCATCAAGATTACGTGGCTGGGGAAACCTTTATGTGTTATATAAGTCTAAAGTATCACATTACCTGCCATAATTACAAATGAGAAGTAAGCCTGACCTTTGTGTGGTGCTGAATCTTAAGAGAAAAGCAAGTATGTCCAAGACAACTTGATAAATGGGTGTTTTTCAGCTATGGGTGCTTTTGGCCCTGAGGTCGTAAAGTGTGTTTGAAAAAGTTTAATATAAGTAATATATTACTGGTTATCAAGTCAGGTACCATTTCCATCACATCTCAAATGATGCAGTGTTTTTAATAACACTCTGTAATGGAAATAATCTGTCAATCTAGTCAAGGCTAATTTTTTTTTAGATAGCTAGCATGTATCCTAAATATACACATTCGTACATTTAGCATAATTTGACAAATATTTACAGCTTAAAAACACCACAAATATTCTGCTCACATATTATATTTACCTTGTCTTTTCATTTTCTTCACAAGTCACATGTAAGATATAGTACTTAAATTATTTTATAAAGAATTTTCACACACTAAGTTGTCAAGTTGACTGTTTTCAGATCATTTAGAAACAGAAAACATTATTAAAACAATGTTACAAAAGATTTCTAATTCAAATAAATGATGTTTTGCACTTTGTATTTAAAAGATACTGGGGAAAACCCCCCAACAAACGTCACCAAGCAGAATGACCTATTTAAACGGATGATCTTAAAAGTAAATGTGTCTTGTGCACCAAATCAGCATATTAGAATTCTTTCTGAAGGATCATGTGACACTGAAGACTGGAGTAATAACTGCTGAAAATTCAGCTTTGCTATTACAATTATTTTTTTAAATTATAATAGAACAGTTCATTTTTAATAATTTTAGAATTATTTCATATTATTACTGTTTTGGACTATTTCTGATCGAATGAATGCAGTCTTGGTGAACTTAAGACTTTTGAAAAGCAAAACAAAATTAAGTAATTGTGAACTGTATTAATATGACCTTCATACAGACTAAAAGTCTTAAAAAATATTATTGCATTTCCCTGACTGAATGCATGCAATAAAAACAAAACTAGCGTCTGATTCACAAACAAATGGTGCTTATGTCTTTAATAAATTGACCAGAAATTCTAACAAACGCAATCTTTTGATCTGAATCAGAATGAATGAATGACTCACTCATTTGAGTGGTTAATGATTTAATATCTGACTTACTCACCGCCCAGATATTTAACAACATTTAAAGATTCCCGTTCCCAAAAGAGTTTGTTTGTAAAATAAAATTAAATAATAAAAATATACAAACATATACAGAAATATGTATGAAGTATATGAAGTATATAGTAAGGACCAATAGGAGAGAGAGAGGGTGCAGGTGCTGCAAAAACAACACTGTAGAAAACACCTGTCAGCAATGAGTTGGCATTACAAAAGCTTGTGTGAGGGAGAGAAACGCACTTTTGTTCAGCTTATTTAAAAATTCACCATGCCTGACAGATAAGGTAAGGTTTATCATTATGTCAAGGTCTCAAGCAGTGCAAGAGACAAACACGCTGGGTCGACTTTTGCATTCAGCATACGCACGGTTACTGCATCAAACAGAATGACACGTTTATCTGAGCACTGGCACCAACCACCGCCAACTTCTGCGGTAACTGAATGCATGCAATAAAAACAAAACTAGCGTGATTCACAAACAAATGGTGCTTATGTGCTTATGTCTTTAATAAATTGACCAGAAATTCTAACAAACGCAATCTTTTGATCTGAATCAGAATGAATGCAATGAGTTGGCATTACAAAAGCTTGTGTGAGGGAGAGAAACGCACTTTTGTTCAGCTTATTTAAAAATTCACCATGCCTGACAGATAAGGTAAGGTTTATCATTATGTCAAGGTCTCAAGCAGTGCAAGAGACAAACACGCTGGGTCGACTTTTGCATTCAGCATATTACAATTATTTTTTTAAATTATAATAGAACAGTTCATTTTTAATAATTTTAGAATTATTTCATATTATTACTGTTTTGGACTATTTCTGATCGAATGAATGCAGTCTTGGTGAACTTAAGACTTTTGAAAAGCAAAACAAAATTAAGTAATTGTGAACTGTATTAATATGACCTTCATACAGACTAAAAGTCTTAAAAAATATTTTAAAAATAAATAACGTTAAAACATGAAAGTGCCTGAAGTAAATCAGTATGTTTTTCATGTGTACTGACTCGTCAAGGTGAATTTGCAAAGTCAACTAATAGAGTATCACTTAACATTCAATCGAATTTCTCTAAAATCCAAAACAAGCATAGCCATCAATCCTCAATTACTGAGCAATAAAACATGCATTGCTCTGTGGCTCACACAAATATGCAAATATAGCCTACATCACGATGAGACTCAGGAGTAAGTGTGGACTGTGGACATAGCAATTATTGATTTAGTCTCAACGACAGCTAATTGGGTGGGTTAAGAACACTCCTAGCAGTATTAGTGCACTAATGAATACTCTAACTTTATACCCTAAGTGTGTCTGAGACATGCAATTCTTACAAAACCCATGTAAATTCCCTCTTCCTCCAAAGCATCCAGAAAGGCCAATCCTACATTATTTTCTCTTGAATGGAGGGCAGTTCAAAACACAAGTGTGTAGGAGAAGAAAGAGCTCTTGTCCTGAAGCAAACCTGTCAAATAGAATATTTGACAGGTTTATAAAGTAGAAACAAAATATTGACATTCTTTTGTGCATAGAGTTGAAAGCAACAATTGGATCAGGTCAGTTTCAGTGAACTCTGTGTAGAGCAACATTAGGACCGAAATATTTAAATATTTAGGCCACACACACAAGGTTTTTTTTTCGAAACACCAAAATGGCTCTTTTGTGTATTCACGCAACAATGGATTTTTTTTTGCCTCAACACTAGAATGGAAATATGTAGGCCGTGCACAAAGAATGGTGCAAACTAAAACTGCAGGGAGAACAAAATACTCGTGCAAATGGGTCCAAGTGACCTGCGGAAAAGTTGGATAACCTGAGGAAAGCCCCTCAGAGAAGATTTAAAACACTGCACACACAAACAGGGAACAAGGATACTAGGTTCAAAAGAAAAAGTCAAACAGGACTACTACTTTATGTGGGTTTAAACACAATGGATTTTTTTTTTGCCTCAACACTAGAATGGAAATATGTAGGCCGTGCACAAAGAATGGTGCAAACTAAAACTGCAGGGAGAACAAAATACTCGTGCAAATGGGTCCAAGTGACCTGCGGAAAAGTTGGATAACCTGAGGAAAGCCCCTCAGAGAAGATTTAAAACACTGCACACACAAACAGGGAACAAGGATACTAGGTTCAAAAGAAAAAGTCAAACAGGACTACTACTTTATGTGGGTTTAAACACTAACAAAAAACAATTTAACCCACAAATCTACAAAGAAAATGTCTAACTTGGTCTAAACAAGGATTCCTTGTACCGTTACTCAGCGAATATGCTGTGCTGCTGCTGAATCTACAGCACAACAAAAATTTAATTTGAGTGGAGTCTGTTGTCTGGCTCAATGTGAAATGACTGTCACAAAATGGAACAAACACAATAAATACATGACTATTGCATTTCCCTGACTGAATGCATGCAATAAAAACAAAACTAGCGTCATTCACAAACAAATGGTGCTTATGTGCTTATGTCTTTAATAAATTGACCAGAAATTCTAACAAACGCAATCTTTTGATCTGAATCAGAATGAATGCAATGAGTTGGCATTACAAAAGCTTGTGTGAGGGAGAGAAACGCACTTTTGTTCAGCTTATTTAAAAATTCACCATGCCTGACAGATAAGGTAAGGTTTATCATTATGTCAAGGTCTCAAGCAGTGCAAGAGACAAACACGCTGGGTCGACTTTTGCATTCAGCATACGCACGGTTACTGCATCAAACAGAATGACACGTTTATCTGAGCACTGGCACCAACCACCGCCAACTTCTGCGGTAGTTACGCACACAGAGTGCTAGATAAAGTCCCAATGAGTTAAATTCTCAAAAGGAATTTCAGTAAACAATAAATGCGCACATCATTCATCATGAGTGTTCTGAGGTTTATTGTTTGCTCTACTAATTTATACACTCTACTGATCTAAAGTAATGCCATTAAGATCAAGTTTTGTTTTAAAACATAATTTGTAATGAGGATGAAGACAATTAAAGTAGTTTCTAGAAAGGAATGAGTCAGTTTTATTGGATGAAATGGATCGGATTCAGGAAGCTATGGCAAGAGAAACACACAAGAAGGCTTGGTAGAACTCTGCAGCCCAGAATTCTACATAAAACACATCAGATTTCCACAGAATTTACAATGTTCTTCTACACATACCCAGTTCCACTGTCTATTAAATATTTATTCTGTAAAATACAGACAATAGTGCAGCACTCACAGTGCATGGAACACATTTAACCATATTTAAAAAACATTCTTTAAAATTAACACGCGTAAAAAGTGAAAAAGAGACATGGAAGAGGGATCTGAATTTCTGGATACTGGGCACAAAACAGGCAGAATGAGGAAGGACTAGGGTAGAAGTATGAAAACCTTCATACAGCCAAGTTTGAAGTAATGAACAGATGTCCAATTTGAATATGACCACAGATGTAGATATGAAAATTCCTGAAAAAAGGACTGAAATCATGATTAGAAAAATGGTCTCATATGGTTTTCTAGTGAAAATAATCAGTTGAGTTGGATCCTAAGTGATAGGATCTGTTATCCAAGTAAGATCAACAGAGGTGCAGAAATCCCCATCTCAGTCAGTGTGAAGAAGAGCATCAGTTTTTGGCTGGTGACTGTCTGACACACAAAAGAATGTTCAAGCATTTTGTCCTTCTGCTTTTCATCAGAGGGGAAAAAATGTTGTGTACTTCTCCATCTCTTACTGCTTTTACAGGATTACGTCTGCTCTAAATTCTGAATAAATGGTGTTTTAGAAGGTAACTTTTACAGAGCAGGTCACAGTGATATACCTCCTCTTCCCTTTCTTCTGCTGTATGTCTGTCTATGAGAAAAGTCTCCTCGCCTGCTAGAAACCAAAGGTGTGGGAGAAATGCATAACAATAACACTGTATTGAACGGACTCATCAAATTAAAGTCAGTTAAATGAATAAAGAGCATTTATTAATTTATAATAATAGTACTAGTACTATTATATACTTTGCACTAGTAATTATACTTACCTGGGACATAAACATTTTTAGAATACCCTCCACTTTTGGTCTGAACACAACAAACATTATTAATTTGGAATGAAGGACAACTTTAGTTCTTCGGTTTAGTTGCGTTACATTATACTAGCTTTGACCAATATGACCAATTAATGATTCCTTAACGAATCAAAAGCTTGTGCATCACAATAGAAACCGGAGAAGTGTTAATACCCAGTCAGAGAATTACGACCTATTGTTTTGCCACACAACACACCATGCTTCATTTTAAAGGAATAGGTTTTGGTTTTGTTTTTTTCCAAAAAAGCATCAGTTTGCAGCATCTAAATGTAAAAATCCTCTTGGTGGCACCAAATGACCAAAACCTTAAATCAGAGAAATGCGACGAAAGATGCACCAAGGTACATTTCAGGTTATTTTAGTTAGAAACATAAATATGGACCTTCATAACCACTAAATATAATCATTTTATTAAAAAGCTACGCATAGCACATCAACCTTTAAGCTCTAGGCAACATCTAAACCATTCATCTGAGAGTATCTGTAAGAACCAAGCCCTGCAACATTATCGCCAGCCACCTTCTTGCATTTGTGTAACGGAGAGATCTGCTCGAGTAAGTATCCAGCCTACTTTCAAATCTCATAAAAAATGTCTTCAAATGTTGAATGCTAAAGCTGATTTCGCTTGAAATACTCAAGCGGGTCAAAAATATCACAACACTGCAGCACTCCAGCAAATAAAGCGGAAACGAAAAAACCTGCACATCACGGTTCACAATCTTATTCTCTTGAAAATTTAATAAATGTTAACTCGGAAAACTGAATTCTTCCTTTCAGCATAGGAAGAGGGCATATATAATTCAGATGTCCGGACAGTCAACTCGTACTTGATTAATCTGAACAATGAAAATGAATAATGACCAATTCTGCCAGCAGAGATGAGAACATCTAGACCCCCCAAATCTTTGCAGGCCCCACAACTCCCCTCCCCTGTTGCTATCTTAATATATCCAATCAGATCCATAATGCTAAAGCCATTCTATAAAGGGCAATATGACAAAGCCCAGCAGACAGAGATGGAGAACAGAAACCAATGACTGTCTTGGCACAGAGTGTATGAAACCATGCAAGAGATTGGTTACTTTTTGGCAGGAGAACTAGACTACATTTTTATGATTAGAGTTATAGTCTCACTGAAAGGCTGTACTATATGTACTATACAATACTGTCAGCAACAATTTTGGATTAATAAAGGTCGTCACTTCTGAGAAGAATTAACAAATTTCTCACTAAATTAAAATACAGACTTTACTAGCACTGACTGACTTACTACCTGAACTACTTGTGATGAAGATTTCATGAAAACACCCAAATGATTTTGCTGTCCAGCCGTATCTGAGAGGCACAGGTTAGTAACTCTCTCCACCCCCCTCATCTCTAAGCAGGACATCTATGTGCATCACCTTTCCCCACTTAGATGCAGTCCGTCTTCTCCTGGCCTCTCTCTTCAACTGCCAGGCATGCTCCTTGCTCCAGATTTTATCTCCAGGTTTGATAGACAAGCTGACCAGGCCTCGAAGAACAATAGTCACAAACTTCTTCATGTCGCAGGAATCACTCGTAGCGTTATAGCAAACACATCCTTTGAATGAGTCTTGTTCAAACCCACTCAGCAACAGTAGCAGGCAAGGGTTCCCTGCAGTGAAAAGTCTTCAGTAGTCACGCTAGCTGTGTGACTGCTGAGAGCAAGAGAGCGTGTGAGTGAGAGAAAAGAGAAATCAGAGGAAGACGACGGAGGGAGGGTTCTTCTCTCATCAGAATTGTGAAGGGTGCGCCACCAGGTCCCCTCCAGAATAAGGCTCCCTCGAGAAAGCGGATGGCTGCACCCCAGACCGGAGGCGGCTGATGGGTGCATGCCGTAAAGGATGGGACAAATATCAGACAAGGATATCATCATGACCTGTAAAAACTGTGTGAGAGATGTCACAAATCAACCAAACAGCACAGAACACTGATAATCCCATGATTAAACTAAACAGGTTGACTAACATAAAAATATGTGAGAGTTTTTGAGATTACAATTGCCCAATCTGATAAAGTATAAGTGAATTATAACATTTTTGCAGGACTCATTTATACTGCAAGAAAATGTAATACCAACAATTCATGAACATACTTAAATTGGTCAGTGCTGCACCGACACCGACACAATCTTCTACTCTCAAATTTGAAAAAGATGTATTTATGTATTATTGATGCTGCCATGTTAAAAGGCCATGAAAAGATGGAAGAGTTGAACCATTAAGATAAAAATAATGGAAATGAAATGACAGACAATTTTAAATACATGCTAAAGTGGATTTTATTACCTGGAATGATCCTCTTTTGAGAATAAAATCTGTGAAACTCAAATACCATATGAAGCCCTCGAGAGACAGACATTGTTACAAACCCTAATAAGATTGGCATAACTTTATATTTATACAGGTAGATAACTCGGTGAAATGCATATAATTACATTCAATCTGCTTTAAAGGAATAGTTTTCATTGTTTTTTGGACTTCATTGACTTTAATTGCATGGACAAAAAATGGTTAAAACATTCTTCAAAATGTCTTCTTGTGTTCATAAAAATTTGGAACAACATGAGGGTGGGTAAATGACAAAATGTTACATTTTGGGTGAACTGCTCCTTCAAGAACTATCCGCTCTTAAAGGTGGTTAATAGAATGCAAAAATCACTTTTATGAGGTGTTTGAACACAGTTGTGTGGCTGCAGTGTGTGAAAACAACCAGCCTATAATGGTAAAAATCCACCCACTCATTGTTTTATAATCCCAATAAATCATAAACAGTCTCTCCACACTAGCAGTTCCAGATTTCTCACTACTATGACGTCATACTTGGGGGAAGTCCCGCCCATTTGTGACGCTCTCTGCCCTATTAGCATATACACAGCCCTGAGTGAGAAGCAGCGGTCCGCCATTACTGTTTTCTTGCTGTAGCTGCTGAAGGTACAATGTCAGCACCAAAAAGCCATTAAAAGTGTCGTGTGTTGGGATGCACCATCGAACATAGGAGTCTCCATAGACCGCTGAGGACACGGTGGTTAAATTTCATTTTCGAAGGAAATGTCCCGGGGGAAAAAACGGAAAAGTCCTATACGTTTGTGCTAACATTTTACACCGGACTGCCTCACAAACGAGGGTCAGCTCAGCACTGGAGTTGTGCAAAGATTGCTTCTGAAAGAGGGATCGCTACCAACGCTTCGTGCGCAAACGTCCAGACTCCAGACAAAGTAAGCATCACGCCTTATATTTTGTCTTCCAAAAGAGCTTCTTGGCTCTCTGTAAGGCTAATGTTGCTAAAGCTACCATTGTCTATGCCCGTTTTCACTAATGCTGCCTTCACATGCTACCAGAATGATCGTAAATAGGAATGTGGTAGTTAAAAATTGCATTTGGAAGCAATGTGAAGATCAGTAACACAGTCACCACCAGTTAAACAATAACAACGGTATGCCCGCGAGCATGAGCTCTTGAAGCTCCGCACTCTTCTGAAAAGGGAGGCGGGAGCACCAGCTCATTTTCATTTAAAGGGGACAAACACAAAAAACAGCGCGTTTTGGCTCATACCCTAAAAGTGGCAATTTCAACAAGCTATAAAAAATTATCTGTGGGGTATTTTGAGAAAAAAACTTCACATACACACTCTGGGGACATCAGAGAACAATTTAAAATATTGTATCAATGCATTCTATGGCCCCTTTAAGGTTTATTCAAAAATTCATATGTCTGCATGTGCATGTTTAATATGACCTTTACAATGTTCAGTAATCTGAATGCCCCCTCAAAATAAAAAGTGGACAATGCATAATGTATGACGACATGACATCATGCATTCAATGTCGCTGGTGGCATGAACAGGATATATGGCTGCAAATTATGCCATAAAATCATAAATGTTGATCATTTCCCTTTATGTTGTAGTTGTGATTATAAATTTGAATCAGCAGAACTTACATTAAAATACTTATTTTGTGTGGGGACCCTCACTATGACATCACAGTTACAATGTTCACTGCAAAAAATATTACATAGAAAATTGTGTAATTTGAGACCTAAATGGAGTGCTGTAATCAGCCCATTATGGAGAGGGTTGTGTGGACTAAAATCTTGGATGTTTGTTGACATCAGTGACGTAATGCTATGAGACTCTGGGTAACTATATAAGTCCCTCACTGAAAACACTGTGATTTCAGTTCCAGTAAAAACTCACTAAAATTATGATGTTCCTCCAAGACAGCTCTGTCCCAAAGCTGAAATACCAAGTGCTTCCATGAAAACAGTTACTTACACCATAAGGTCTAAATCATGCTTGTAGGCCTCATTATACTTAAATAATTAAGATTAATAAATAAATTATTTTATTTTAAATTATGTAATTAACGTAAGTGTATTGTCTGGTGCATATCTTAACATAGAAAAAAGAGATTTAATTTTATGCAAGAGGAAACAGGTTTCATGAGGGCTAAAAGAAAGTCAGCCTCTCTAGAGAAAGTGCTTGATAAATCATAGGCAGTCTCCTAAAAAAAAAAAAAAAAGGCTTTTTAAAAACAAGTGTAGGAGGTTTTTCTTCAAGAGGTTTTAAGAGGACTGTCTCTCTCATACAGTACCTAGCTCCTCAGTCCTTCCAGATTCAAACCCCTTATGACGGTCACCATTCATATTTGAGAAGCTCCTCTATGCAAAGGATGACAGTTAAGCAGGAAGCATTAAGGAAAGTGAATGAATTTGTAATGATCTCAATGGCAAGAAAAGGAGGAGTAGGAAGAGAGATAAAAAAAAAGGATGTCATGAAACAGCAACAACAGCTTTTGAATAATTACAGAGACTGATTGTTTTATCTTGTTTTTAAGGCCAGACCTTTGACAAGTTCCACACTGCATGTCAGAAATTTGTTCAATATTAATCAAATCCAGTCATAAATAAATGTAATCAGTGCAAGCTGTCTGTACCTATAATGTTTGTAATATTTGTACTTCAAGCCACTGCAAAATCAAACGTGATCACATATTCCAACAGGCTTAGGCACCTGTAGCATGACAGCACTGAAATATGAGCATTTCATTTCTACGCTTTTCTACCAGCATTGTTACTATTAACTAAATAAAAAATTGGATTTAAATCAAATTAGTTTCATTAACTGAAATAAAGCTGAAATTTAAAATATAAAAACTATAATAAAATATTAAACAATTAGTAGAAATGCTTCCCTGGCAACTAATTGAAAAAGGTTGAAGCACCAAAATGACAAACTAAAAGTGAAATAAAAAAAGGCTAAACAGCAACATTTTAAACAAAACTAATAAAAATGACAAAATCACATACAATTACTAAAAATTTAAGTACATTTAAAAAAAAGAAAGAAAGAAAAGCCAATTTAAAAAAAAATCAATAATTACTACAATAGCATATAAATAATACTAAAATATCATTGACTGTATACATGCAACAGCAACTGATCAGTCCACCAATGAGAAGAAACAAATACATTTCTGGAAACCAGAAGCTGATTGTAAACACCAGGCTAAAAGAAAACAGCAGAAGGCCAAGTACAATTTAATGAATTTAATTCAATAAATTCATAAAAAATGAAATGGATATTTTTCTTACATGGACTAAAACTGAAAAGTATTTTTGTTTGCCGTTTTTCTTTAAAGAAACTAAATTACTCCATTAAATGATTAAAAACTGCAGAGACTGTGAAACAGCATTAGGACAAATTCTTTACATAGTCAACTCAAGAAAGAAAGGCTCATTTGATAGACATTTCATAACTCATAACATTAGGGTAAGTGCCCAATTTCTAGCATTTCTAAAACATTCAGCGCATGATTCTGGGGGTCATTTATGTTCTTAGCTCACATTTGCCTTTCACAAAATAAAGTGAGAAGCTGCAGCCACGAGAGGGAGAGGAAGATGAGGTTGTGTCTAGTTCAAATCGCCCCAACAACAGCGTGTTAGCAGCTCAATACACTGGTCTTCATTGGCTGCCTGAGTCACACGCACAGAGAGGATGAGATGAGACTAGAAGGGCACGCTCTCTCGCTGACTGAGGCTGTGACACTGATGCCATTACAGAGCTGTGGGGCAATCCGCCATGCAGGGTAACCTCAAATTTCTGACAGTACATCCATGTGCCACTAACATGAAAGCTCATTGGTTGAGGACTGTTCCTCTATTTGACCAGCATTGGTTAGTCCTGCTCAAGGAAGAGTCACGAATGTGTCCTCATGTCCCAACAGAAAGTGTCAAAACTATTCTAAGAGCTTCTAAAAACACCTAAAATGGCTGTGGACAAGACCAGATTTAAGACGACACAATATATCAAACAGCATCAGAATGAATTACTGTTCTTGGAAACTACCAGAACACAAAACCACATTTCAAAAAATAATAGTTGGTAATAATCTGGCTGACAACTGACCATTCAAATCCTTGATTTTGTAACTTGTAGGCCACGTGACCAAACAGCACAATATTCATAATCATTATAATGACCCAGAATTAATTTTACAGCTTTGAAACTCACAATACAAAGTTAAAAGAAAATGAACAGCTGCATCTGAGAACAGTAAATGAGAATGCAGAGGGGCAGGACCGGC